AAACTTTCCTCTGGAGAGTAGGGGAGAATTTCTCTTATGGTTATGCAAGTTGCAGTGAATGGCAGTTTAGAAACTGTAGAAAAAAATGTGATCAGCCCATTCCAGTTCTTAGATTGCTCACTTTGTTAAATCAAAGGAGACTGATGCTGGAGGGTTGCTTAGAGATCAATTGGTATTGGCTTTTCATTTTGAACTTAACTGAGGCACAGAGATGATAAAGGACTTGCTCAGGCTCCTCTGCAATTGGCTGTGGTTCTGGGGTCTCCTGATACATCATTTTACTCTGAGATGTAATTCTGATTCTTGGCATATTTATTAATGACTCAATGGGCCCTTCTCCCCCAGGGTCAGTTCTGGCAATGGGCTTACAGCCTCATTGGAAAGAGGTCATTAAAAGCAGCCAGTGGAGCCAATTCCCATACACTACCAACCCAAGATTCCACAAACTTCTCCAGCTGAGCCTCCTCCTTCCCATTCCCTATTCAGGTCTGAGCCATCCTCTTCAGAGCCATTAATGAAAGGCTCCAGGAAGCTTTACCTGATCGTCCTTGGCCACTGGAAAGGTTCCACCTCTGAGCTTCTCTTATGCAGAGAGAACAAGAATATGGGCCAGATGCATGGGTGTGCACTGGCTTGAAAAATCCAACAGCATCTTCTCCACCCCTTCTCACACACACTGTGCCAAGGGGAACTGCTAGGAGAGGTGCCTGGTCATGCCTTGTATCCCAGGTGTCCTGTGCCAAGTGATTTCTGAAGGGAAATGGCCTGTGTTGTTACATCCCAAGGGTGGGCAGAAGCCATTTGCATTTGAGATTCATGAATGACATTTGCAAACATAGCCTGAGAGTCAACTCTTCATATGACAAGGCTGATCTTTTCACCAGAACATTCATTTTGAAACATCTTATGAGTTTATTAAATTCTTCTCTCTTAAACTTGCTCCACCGAGTTCTGTACTGGGAGGTTGGTATATTTTGGGACAAGAGGACTTCTTTCCTATGTTTTGCATGGCTTGTGTACTGTCTCACTTTGGCTAATATTGCCTCTGCTCCTCTTCATTTTGGTTTTCCAAACCGTAATTTTCCTTGGTCCTAAGTATTATCAGTATTCAAGCATACTCAAGTCCCTGAGTACTATCAGTTTCTAGTCCATACCAATCCTCTAATTCACCTTGCTGTGTCTTTGCCACCCATAATACTGAGAAGCAGCAAATACATTTTCATTGGTGATGTGGAGAAACAGGAGGAATATGAAGAGTCTGGATGTGGGAGGTTTTAAAAGCCCAGCTGTGGTTACCATAAGATAGGTTCCTACAGACTCCTTCAAATTTCCTCTTTGTTTAAGGATCAGAACTACCCTGGAAGTCAAAATGCCATTGGATTAGGCCTCAACAAATGACTAATAGGCCTTGGCCTGACAAATAAACATGGTGAAAACATACAGAACTATATGGGCATAGCAATATCGACATATCTTGTACACCAGGTTTGGCACTACTGGGTTTCCTAGTGGATAAATAGAGATGAAAAGAAAGACTAGAGGGTTCACAGGGATCAAATTATTCATCCAATCAATTCATCCAAAATACTGCAAGCTACGTGCCAGACACTGTAAGAGACACTCAGTGATAACACATAGAATGAACACAAATCTCCACCTGTGGGAGCTTGCATCTAGGAAGCACAGACAGAAAACACATAACCACACCTGCTTACCCGAGTGGATGGAGGCCAGCTCTGACTTGAGAAGACCTGGGCAGCCCTTGCCAGGAGGAGCTGGCATTTGGGAGTTGATAATGTGGTGGTGGCAGTAAGAATTGCTGTTTCATTTACCACATTTTGGAGCCAGAAGAGTCATCTCCAAATTCTTTGATTCCAGAAAGTGTCCAGGTGATCCGCACTGAGTTACATTTTTACAAAAAGTTACATATCTCCTTAAAGTGAATCATTGCCCCAAAATGTGAAATTTTTAAAACTTCATTTTAAAATTTAATATTTCAAATACTGTTCAAAAAAGCTAAATAAATTCATAACCCTAAATCTTTATGAATTGTGGCAAAGTATTACATAAAATTTGCTATTTTAATCATATATTTCAGTGAAATTAAGTATATTCCTATTGTTTAGCATCTTTCTTCAGAACGTTTTCATTATCCCAAACTGAGTTATGAGGCTGAATTATGCCTAATTCACTGGCATAATGTTTTCAGGTTTCATCTATGTTATATTACATTTCTGAATGCCAAAGTATGTGTTTTATGGTTAAAATTTGAAGTGTTTGGGCTAATCGAGCTGTGGACCTTACATTTAGCAAGAAAGGTAAGCAATTCCAGTAGATGATAGGATGCAGGAAGTGAGAAAATCTTGGCAGGAGCATCTCTAAAATTATAGGCTGTACCCTTAGAAGAATGTTGGCTTCAGGCACTGTGTTTCAGGAGGTCTGTGGGGCCCAGATCCAAATTGGGTACCTCAAGAAACTGGATTATCTTCCCTAAAGGAGTTATATTCGGGGGTTTTTCTGTGAACTTGAGACAGAGATGTTTGTGCTTGCAAAAAAAAAAAGAAAAAGCTAAACTGATTGAGGGCTTTCACATAAAGAGCTCTGTAACAAAGAAATACTGCTCATACTTGATTCCACCAATAGCCCATGCAAAAACTCTCGCTCAGCAGCCTGTCTGCTGTCATATTATGTGACATCGGGGGAATACTCTCGCCACTGGGTGGAAAATAGCAATTCCTCTCCGCTTGCTCCACCACCACCACCAACCTCCGTGGAACTGAAGCTGCACCAGATGGGAAGGTGCTACGCTGGACCTGAGGGCCTGCACAGTTGACTCTGCAACTGTGGACCTCTAGGAGCAGGGTGATACCAATTGGTTATAGGAAACTCAGATCCTTGGAGATTTTAGAAAATCAGAGATTGAAGACATCATTATCTTCCTTTGATCTAGTCCATGCCTTGGGTGATTTAGAGGGTGACAAGAATGATAAATGCTGCCAAGGAACAATTCCATGCTCCTGGCCAGCCTGTGTTCAAGTCACTTTGGGGTGAAAGGGCAGTGATAGTACTGACCAGGTACAGAGGACTCCTGGGTTCCTGCAGCTATACCAAGCACTTCACAAGCAATGACATTTTGACTTTGCCCATTTACCCAAGAAGGTACATGCAGTTATTGTCCCAACCTGACAAAGAAGGATTATGAAGCCTAGAGAGAGCAAGTCACCTGCCTGATGGGCAACTGGGCCAGAACCAGTTTGTGGTGTCTCTATCTTCTGCTTGGTTGGACAGTGACCTGACTCTTTCCTCCTCCAGATCAACCATAACAATTTCATCCTTGCCACATCCCTGGGGGTCACAGAGTCCAAATACCTATTTCAACAAAGCTCTTCTGAAATCCTCTGTCCAGAGAGGTCCTTCAGATCTGAGTGTTCTCAAAGGGAGGATCAGAGCCTAGATTCTTCTACTCTCACAGCAGCCTGCCCACTCCAAGCAGAGAAGTGTGTGGTTTCTGGATTGGAGGGAAAACATTACCTTTTCCTGCTCTGGCAGCATCTGATTGTATTTAAGCTGCATTTCCAGATGGTGCTCATACTTAGGGGCAGCTCTGGGCTAGGGAAGCCCTCACCACAGGGCTGGCTCATTCTGCAGAGCACGCAATGAGGCCAGGGTGGACTGTGTCAGCTTGGTCCTTTCTTCCCTCCTTGACACCTGCCACCAATCATAATGCTTCTTCAGATTTCCTAATAAATGGTGAAAGAGGCAGAGAAGGAGTTGGCCTCCAGTAGGCAGAAAGGACATAGCAAGTGCTATTTGGGTCACTAAGGCATCTATATTGATAGAATACTTGCACTGCCTACACTTTGCCCAAATCCAACTTGCCAGAATGATGGAAGACTGATTCCAAGATCAAGAGCCCCACACACCTGCAAGTATAAACCTTCCTCTATGGATGCCCCATCAGTCACCTCCACAGACAGGTTTTAATAAATATTCACCCAGTGGAATCAGAATGCACTCACCTCTATGCTCATCTTTCTCAAAAATCCACAGTACCCCTGACCCAGACACTGGGACCACTGATGTGAAGAGGCTAAAATTCCCAAGCATTCCAAAAGCTCCTAGAAACTAATAGTGCTGGGCGACTTAGCAGTCCTCCACAATAGAGGCAGGACTTAGGGCCAATGCTCATCCGGTCAAGCAGGGACAGGGAGTGATTTGGACTCTTGAATCATGGAAAAATAATCTGAAAGTGCCTTGGCTGGTCTTGCATAGGATCTGCCTCCAGGGAATGACTTTGCATTTCCAGAGGGATCTGGAAAGAGTATTCCCCATTATCCCCATTTGTGAAAATGACCATCTTATGAAGCAAATTATTTCAAAATGAGGAGGCCAGATGTGTGTCTGTACATGCATGTCCTTTTAAGGATAATACAGTCTTCTCCAGTCAGTCCTGACCTTCAGCCTGGGTGGAAATTACGTGAGGATTCGCATCAATACTAACTGCAGCAGAACTGAGAGTGAAGCCAGCCAGGAAACTAGCCACCTCCCCCAGAGTTTCTTTTCCTTAAAATATTATGAGAAAAATTTTGAAGAGCCTGACTTGGCCACTTAATGCAAGGGCAGCACTTGTGAAGGAAGAACCAGATGTGCAGGGTTTAAGCACTGGCTGGTCCAATAATACTGTTGTGTGTGACCCACAGGTAGCTTGTGAGAAAATGTGGATTGAAATCCTTGGTAAATAATGTGTTTCCATTGGTTTACATACTTGGTTGGCACCTCCTATGTGCACAGTGATAGATATGAAGGGAAATAGAACCACATCTCATTACAGTCCTTGGGGTAACTGACTTTGCAAATTTCATCTAAGTTGCCACTCCCCCTGAGATATCCAAGCATCATTATTCTGGATGTGATTCCAGTAGTCTTAAAGACATGGCTTTCAGTGGTCCTAGAAAGGAGTTTTCTAAAGGCTTTCTATTTTCCTTTGTGCCTCTGCTAAGCTTTTCCAAGGACTGTTGCTTTCTGGACCGGGATATAGGACATTGCTGGATTCCACTCTTCCTTTGCTTACGGCTACACAGCATCACCAGTGGTAAGTGCCACCCATGTGACGGTATTATGGCAAAGTGGTTTGGGGTCTACTCCACTCTTCAGCCACTCCCTGGAAGCTCTGTTACAGTCCTAAAGGAATCAGCTGGAATTCAGCTTGTGGCCTGGTATAAGGCTACCTGGGATTCATTCTAGGTCATTTGTTTGGGAGCAAATTAAATTAATTAAGCGCTTTGTTCCTGTCATTCATATTTTTCAAGTTCTTCTCTGGAAAGGAAATAGGGATTTTTCAGTGTTATACATAATACTAATCAAGTTTTTTGGGAATAGTTGGGGAGTATTCTGCCCAAACTTCCTGTTTTTCAATGTGTAGTTCAGCCTGGCTCTTACCTTTACACTGATTTCTGGGCTATATGTAGTGATATAATAACATTCACCCTCTCCTTGGTCTCCAGTATGTTCCCATCAATGATAATGATCCTGTCTCAGTTTCCATTTCATGTCACCTTTTATTGTGCCTGCCTGAAACATTCGGTCCTACTGGAACAAATGTAAAGCAAAGTACAGGACCATGAAAGGAATTTGTTACAATTTATTGGACTCATATTTGGCTGAATTTATGTAGCATAACAGACTTGAACATAATGCTCTCAATTGCCCTTTACTGCATATATTAGAATAATTTCCCGTAAACCAACAGGATGTTTCATGGCATCTATCAGGGACAAATTCTTTGACTGAATACATCTGAAAGCCAAGTTGTTCAACTGATCTGAGACAGGTCTGTGTCCCAGAGCCAGGCTTGTGTTCTCACAGTGGCATATCCTGGCCATGGAGGAAAGCGGCAGAAAGAGAGGGGTGATGTTAGAGAGTTGTTTGGGCAGTTCGAGAGTCCGCCTGTGAGATCTTTGCACCTCAAAGGATATTTGAGAACTTTTTTAGCTATCCAGAATCATTTCTAGCTACCCAGAATAGTAAGTATTGCCAAAACTCAGGAGTGATTGAAGGAACCAGGGAATTTTGTCCAGGTTTCCTATAGACACTTCAATAACACTGATAATCCCATTCCAAACCTCCTTTGTGGGCAGGATTGCAGCCAGGGGGCTGTGAACATCTGAGCAGGGGATCTGTAACTTAAGCACACCTGGTGGATTCCTAGTGACCTGGGAAGGAAGATCTACAGGAAAATGTGGGAGGAACACTACAGACACACAGATTTTAGCTGAACCAAGGCACAGACTAAATATCTTCTTTCCTTTTTCTTTGTAATCATTTTTGGTAATATTGTCAGAAAGGAAGTGTCGTCAAAGTATATGGCTGATTGGTCAAAGTTTAACTTTGAGGACCACTGATGGCTTCTGCTTTAACAAATTTCCCCAGGTACCTTCCAGGGTTTGCTGGGCAGTGCTGTCTCTTTGTAGGACTGTTGGTAGTGTGTTTATTTAAAAATAATTGAAGTTAGACTTAAAGGCATACAAACGCTTTTAAGAAAATGTTGCAGAGGAGTTGAAATTATCCACCAATTTAGAGTGCATTCACACATTCCTTTGGAAGTTTATTTGTGTAAGTTTAAGAGGGAATTAATTTGGAGTAGGAAAGAAATGCGCTCCGCACATAAACACTGCAGTTTTGAGATGTTTCATTCCGTTCTACCCACCAAACCGCAAACCTACGCTTTCTCTTCCCAAGGCTTCTGATGTCTTGCTTTTACCTTCAGCAAGTGAGACTTTTTGAGGTTTTGCTATGAATAAAAGTGTAAACATGTCCCCTTTCTGTTTCTCCCAAGTCAAGGATCTGGAGGAATTAAGGCACATTAACTTCTTCCCTCCGTCCTGGCTCATCCGGGTTACAGCCAACCATTACTATTCGGTGAGTCAACTCTGAAAAGAAACAATTAGCCAAATCTATAGCCTCTCTGACTTTGCTCTTCCTGGAGACAGGGCTCACATTTGATACTTTTGGGCCATTTGAGGTCAGGACCTCTCTGGATCCTCCTTCAGGGGAATCACGGAAGGCTGAACCTGAGGAGAAGAGGGAAGAGGCCCAGCTTTATAATCCAGACGTGAGGGCATCTGCCATGCTAGTCTGGAAAGCTGGATGGGTGAAGGAGCTCCCTTCACACCCCCACCCAACTGAGTCCCTGCCAGACACAAGGTAACACGGAGTTAGGATAGAAAAATTGTACGTTATGGTCACCCCATCTTGATCAAATGTTTACAGTAATTGTGTCAAGTAAAAATATTATGATGTGTCTCCATCCACCTTATTCACCGGATCTGGCACAGTACAACTTCTGGTTCCTTCCCCAACATTGTGACCATAACAGGTCAACGTTTTGAATCAGTTCAGGACATCAAAGCAGCCATGACTGATCATGCAACTAAAGAAACACAAAAAGGAACATCCAGAACTGTGGCAAGAATGATGGGATAAGTGTGTTCAAAAGGAGAGGAACTCTTTTGAAGCAGATTAATGGCAATGTGTCTTTCACTAAATTTTAAATTTTTTAAAAAATCACACTCACGTGGTGCTTCTTTTAAAACATATTAGGGGGAACATATTTTCACACAACTGTTCATTTACTACACTGAGTTATTTTGGTATAGAAGAGTCTTAGCAGTAAAAGTACTGGCACTAAAAGGGGTTTGTATTTTGTTAATACAAATAACATATTAACAAATGTAGGGACCAAATTATTCTTTCCCCAGAAATAAAAGAGCATATCTCATTTGTACATCCTTAGCCATATAGAGCACTTTAATTTCAAGTCACTTTTGTTAACTGATAAAGGAAAAATGGCATCTGATTTTTATCACATATTTGCTTTGTAATAGTAAATATGAATATTTTCCCATGCAGCCTGTCCCCTTTTGTGAATTGTCTATACCAGATGTCATACTGTGTTTCCAGGCATGCATTTTTAGAGATGAAACCAGGCAGTGTTTGAGTTCTGAAGAAACATGAGTCACTAGTTAAAATTCAACAAGTCCAACAAATACCTATTGTAATGTGCAAACCACTGGTCCAAGCCCAGAACTTCCTGCACATTCAACAGTGACTCCATGGAGCTGTGATTCTCTGGGCCATAAAGCAGAGCTATGCCACAACAGAGCAGCAGAAGGGACAGCCTTGAGGCTGATGGCCCAGGCAGTTCTCCAGTCCCTCTTCTGTCCTTCTGACTCTGCCTGGCTCCTTCCTTTCGCTCCTGCTGCCAACGCCAACCTCCCCCCATCCACTCCCTCTGCTCCCAGCCTTCACTGTGAAGCTGCCATGTGGGGCCTTACTTGTTCTTGACTTTAGGACCGCAGTCCTTTTCTGCCTCATGATTGAATGTACTGTATTTCCCTAGTGGGACTTTTCAGGGATCTTTCTTTCTCTACCCTCTACATGTCCAGGAAGCATTGTGCATGATAGCTGGCACATTTTAGGTTTTCAATAAATGCTTGTTGATCAAATAAACAACTGAATGTAGGGTATGGAGAGCAAACCTTCCTCCAATACTGTCGGGTGGGATTCAGGGCAAACTCTGGGAGATGACAAGAGGGGCTCTTTTCTATGCCTTGGGTTATTGGTAAGCTATGTGCATTTTTCTTTTAGCTGGAGAATGGTGGTGACATGGTCTACCTAAAAGATCTCTCCACCCAGGCTGTCAGATTTGGGCTGCTCTTTAACAAGGTACTGAAAATAACTCAAACAAAGGGAAAAATCTCTTTCTCCCATTTCTCTGGTGCCTGATTAAGAATGCGTATAAGGCAGCCCATGATCAATTTTCACTTGTGAAATTTAAATAACATCTAATGTGTATACCCCAAATTTTCCCACCAACTATTCTAGTTTTCCCAGGATGAAGCAGTTTTCCTGGGATTCAAGACCTTCCATTCTAAAACCAGGAGACCTGGGAAAATTATGATGGCTTAATCACCTTATCCACTATAAATATCAACAGCTACCAGCTGGCTCAACAAGCCTCAGCTCCATGTGCATGGTGAAAGTTCCAGGGGTGAACTCACTGTGGGCAGTTATTCTGATGGATCCCAGACTCAAACAGCAGTGAGACACAGAGCTCCAGTGCAAGGCATCTTGGCATTCAGTCCCAGAGGACTGTCTGGGTTTGATGGCTGTGCCGTCTCAGATTGCTTATGATTGCCACAATTCTCTCAGAGAATGCTGCTCTGCTGCTCTCCTTTGACTTCTTTAAAGGCACCCAAAACAGTACTGATCGCAAAAAAATTCATATTTTGGGAACTTGGCGCCCTAAATCTGTCATCCAAGAGATCATATGAGTCAGCCCTTTAACTGCAAAGACCCACCTAAGTAGGTAGGCTGATACTTTGTGGGACCAGGGTTTGTTCCAAGTACCACGAATGTGAAGAATCTCTTAGGCCTCTCAAAATGAAACAAAGTGCTTTCTGTGACAGGTCTGCAGCCCTCAGGGTCATCTAAGAATATACCTAACTCATTCTTTTCCTCAGTGAAGAATATGCAGAGTAAATAGCATTGTCACTACTAAGTAACAGCTACTAATTGTATTGTTAGTGGTAGTATCCTAATCTGCTGAATTAGTCAGATTTCTCATTTTTGGACCATAATACCCAACACTACAATCTAACAGAAGAGAGGTGTGATTTAGCCCTGTTTTAAGGAGGTTCTGTCCAAGGAAGAAGGCTGTGGTGCAGCAAAGATGCTGAGTTAATGGCAGTCAGGAAGTGGAGCAGGGGAACAGTGGCAGAGATGAACAGATAAGAGACCATTTAAAAGGCCCAAAGTCCCGTCCCTGTGACTCACACAGACACCCACAAGCACACTTTGCTAATCTACAAGGCCAGTGATGGGAACCTTCTGAAGACCTAGGGCCCTAACTGCAACTGGAACCCCACTTAATTATCGCAAGGCGCCAATACTGCAATTAAACTTGAATACTGGGATTTAAGTTTAGAAAAAAATTAGCATCTTTTATCTTAAAAGAAAAATACGGTAACAGAGCTTTCAATGATACAAACAGCTTTTAATTGAAAGGGAAAGTTTGTATTCTTTACACTTCTAGTTTTTTTTGCCCAGTAGACTGAAGTGCAGTATAAAATCTGAAAGAAAAAAAACCCCAACACACACACACACACACACACACACTCTTAATGTGATCTTTGCTGTTAATGCATACTGATAATTTGTCAAATTTTGGTTCATACTTTTTTAGTTTGAGAACAATATACACAGCACGCAGGCCATCTGTTAGTCTGTTTCTTGTGTCAGATCAGCTGCTCACAAGCATACCATGATCCAAACACAGTAAGAAAGTAGCAAAAACGATCCCAAGTGTTTCCGTGACTATTTTGCAGAGAATTCAACACTGTAAGGATTTCACTTTCAGTAGACTATTCAGCCCTTTGTCATCCCTGCATACTATGTCTTCTCTATTTTTTCAAATGTTACACACAGGTCATAAAAATCTATTTTTCTAGATAGAGGTTCCTTGAAATCCTAATAGCTTGATTTTTACATATCCAAAGTCTAACCAGTGTAAGCAGGAAAGATCCAGTTCTTAAATTTGGTTTTATCTGGAGAAGTAAGAAAACTCAAGGTCATTTCCATCTTATGGAACTGTAAAAATTAGTTATTAAAATCCTCCTTTTGCAGCTGATATAATGCTAGAAAATTCTTGTGGATTTCTTGATGGCTTGTAGGATCATCTGCAGAAATTGTAGAAGTTTATAAATGCATTTTTAGATTTGGAAAATACTTCAACTGCCCACTTTCAAGGGCTCTTCAAAAACTTGCAACTTTCTCCCAAATGTTTTGATTTTGCAGAACATGCTTTCTGCTATTTTCTCTACACCTTGCAGTGTTTTGTTCAGTACGTTGAAGTGTAATGTAAAATCTGTAAGAAAACATGAAATTATTAAGCCAGGATATATCAGTAAACTGTGGGTATTCCTGCCTTTTTCATCTATAAACAGCCTAATCTCATATAAGCAGGCTGAAAATCTCTCCAGGACTCATCCTCTGCTTAGCTACTAGACATTACTGTACATAAGTAAAGCATTGTACTGTGCCTTTACCTCATCAGGAAGTTCTCAAAACTTTTGAAAATTAGGACCAAGAACCATGATGTGATTCGCTGTTTTGTGACATCTTTGAGGACACTAATTTTTTGCTGCTTTCTCTGGCAAAGAGAGCTTCTCGATGTATAATATAATGAAAGGGAGTTAACTGCATGCTTTGATTCTTTAACAAAGAACTATATGAAGCCAGCTGTTGCCCTGCAGGGTTCCTCATCACTAGTAGCTGAAACCATTTTTTCTGGTCATGCACCTTGCAACCAAAAAGCCTCCCTGACAGCATTATAGACACTGATCCCTTTGTTCTTCCAGGCAAAGACACCAGTTTCACCAGCTCTTCCCCCTTGATAGCACCAACAGCAGAGTGCTAAATTATTGCTAGCTTTGCATGACCATTTATATCTGTGCTTTTATCCAAGCACATGGAGTAACAGGCTGCCTTTTGCAAATCAGTGATAATCTGCTGGCTGACATCATTTGCTGTACACAGGACTTGATCTTTAACAGTATTTCTCCTAAGTGGCATCTCAAGATGCATTGCATAATTTTATTCTTATTTGAGAAATCATGAAAAATGATGCTCTCAGACACAAGGCCATTTTGATAAAATCCTCATCAGAGAAGAGCTTACGTGTTTGCTTATGCACAGTGAAATTTGAAAACTGGCAGCCGTTAGATGATTTTTTTTAGAAAGATAGTTGCAAAAAATAATGTACTTGGAATATTTTCTCAATTTCCTTTCAGACGCTTTTTTTTTAATTTCACAAAATTTGGCAACACTTCTGTACTTAGTGTCAAAGTGCAGTCTGACTCTTGCTGTGCAGCACACAGCGCTTTCCATGTGTAGAATACATGGAAGTTCCGGTTCCATTCAGTCACTCCAAATGACTCTATTCTGTCCAGGGCCCTTGGAATGATCTTCCACTATCTGTTTTCCGTTCTGCTTTTCTTGTGGTAGTAATGTGTTAGTGTTCAAGACTTGGAGTCTACAAACACACACACACACGCAAACACACATGCACACATGAAGAAGTACCCAATACAAATCTATCTGTATACTAAAAATAGCTATCACTATTACTTAACACAAAAGAATTGGATATTCGCCGGATCAACAATCTACGGCAGTGATTCTCAGCTGTGCTTCCTCTTGAATTTCCTGACCACCAGTGCAAGGGGGCCATGTTCCACTGACCACCAGCCACCAGAGAAAGCATCTGAGTCATTTCCTACCTTGTGGGTGATTCTGCTAAAATCACAAGTTCAAGTGTATATATCCTTGTTGTTTTCATAAAATTTTCACAATGAAATATAATGCTGTAGTTTCAAGTATGATAGGGGGCAGCATAACATTAAAATGATCTGTCTCTTAATTATAATGCATCTTTGCTGAATCTTAGATATTAAATTTAAATTTTTCATAAGAAAACTCAAAGCTAAAATCTTGTATCAATAAAAAAGAATGTATTAAAATTCACAGCCAGTACAAACAAATGTAGATCCTTGATAGCAGATTGAGCAGTCACACAAAATTTCAGACGAGTTGCAGCTAGTAAGTCTCAGCCCATAACATCACCACCTGGCACCTCTGCTCCTTTCCAAGCCTGTGCGTACAAGCTTTTAGTAGACCCTCAGCCACTGGGGTGACTTGGCTTGTGAGCGGACAGAAAGGGCTCTACATGCCTAGTGCAATAGTTTGCCAGCATTGTGCTAGGCATTTCTTAATCCACTGAAATTGACAAATCAGGATTAATGTTCACACCTGCCAAAAATTGAAGTCACTACAATTTGGCTTTTTCTGTACTTCCTAGGATAAAATTGTTATTGTATCTTTTCTTTTAAACCAATGATCAAATGAGTCGCCTTTGTCATCAGTAGAATTTGTTTTCCTCTGTTCATTTCCCTTTACATGTTGAAGATTTCCTCTCTTCACTTGTTGCTTCTCTTTTCCAATGTAGGAGTACACCACTCACTCAAAGACGATTTCATTATACGGATTCTTCTTTGAGTTAAAAGGAATCAAACATGACACTACCTCTTACAGTTTTTACATGCAGGTAAGAAAGATCGAACACAAAAAAAGATATAGCTCTGCAGCAGATATTTAGATTCACTAGACTCTGAGTTAATAACTAATTAATATTTTATATGTGTTATATGTGCTACTTACACTTATCCCTGTGATGTCATTTAACTTTTACAACTACCTCTGGAGGCAGGGGTAGCTGATGAGGATTTCAACATGTAGTGACTTGCTGTTCATAAGACCTCTGTGGGTAGGGGCTGGGGATTTAGCACAGCGGCCTAAGCCGCTGCCTGGCAAGCTCTAGGTTGTGAGTTCGGTCCCTGGTACCAAAAAAAAAAAAAAAAAAAGAAAGAAAGAAAGAAAGAAAGACCCCTGTGGGTAAATGGTGATTTAATTCATCTTTTGACTTCACACCTGGGACTCAGTATATATGATGGGTGACATTCTGTAGATTGTCATTCTCCGATAGAGGTAATGCATAATTGCCACAGGTGGGAGAGGGGATGGGACACTTGAGAAGTCAGAAGGGTAATGGATGACTTCAGGGCAGCAATAGAGTTGCAGTCAGACTGCCTGGCAAACTGTATAAACACAGCAAATTCCGTGAATATCCACCTTTACAATGGAGACAGTAACAGGACCCATTTTCACTGGGTGGGGGGCGCCAGGGGTCAAACTTGGCAACCTCGCTCTTGTCAGGCAGATGCTTATGCCACTGAGCTAAATCCCTGGCCCTAAATGATTACACTAACATGTTTGTTTATGCAAAGGGTTTGGAACAGGCTTGACCCAGAAAGCATTTTATTTGTTTTGTCTTTTGCTTGGCACTTTAGTTCAACCCATAACCTTGTACATGCTTAGCTTGTGCTCTACCACTGCCTACACTCCAAGGTCAACACTATTATGTTAGCTGATGATGGTGATGATGATGACACCCTCATTAACAGCTGCAGTGAAAGATTGCACGTTCCAGTTAGGATTTGCTTAGAGGCATCTCTTATGCAAACTATTATTTCCCTAAGGAAACCATATTGCATTCATCTTTTTTTCATGACCACTGCCATCCTCTGTACCAAGGGAGCTTCCATGACTGATTGATTGAATGAATGAATGAATGAATGAATAAATGAATGCATGAACAAATGATGAAATCCAAGTTTTAGTTCCAGCTTTGCCATTAGCTTCAAAAAGGAATTAATATGTGGTATGTACATGTCCAAACCCCCTACAATGAATGTAATCATTATGTACTGCCACTGCTTTCTCATGCTCCCTAGAAGAAGTCACTTCTTTTCCTTGGGCCTCCATTCTTGATTGCCTGTCACTGCATCATTCCCCATAGAATGGGTTTACTGGATGAAAAATGAATTGTGTAATAGCATTTATCAAAAAGCCCATACAAACACTGTGTTGACTTTTTTGTTCTAGCAAAGAAATGAAAGTGAGCCTTGACTTGATGTTTTTCTGGGTTGGCCAATGATATGTGTACAGTGAAATTTCAAATGCCACTGGGCTCAGCGATGGCCCTCAGGAAATGATGGCCCTCAGGAAATGGCCTTAGGGAAATACCCTCTTGCTCTTTGCACACATAAGACACAAGGGACTGTAACCGGTGGTGGATTTCACTAACTCTGGGCACCCAGGTCACAGGTCTACTTGGGGTGGGCCACCACTGTCTCTGCAGAGAATAAGACACACAGACTTGGAGTCGCCCTCCGCGATCTGTGAGCGCAGCACAGTCAGCCTGAGAACAGAGCGCTTGGTGAATTATGAGATCAGAGCCCAGGCCCTGGTGAATGGCAGGTGGCAGGAGTTCAAGACCAACCAGATCACACAAAAGTTTGGGTTCATCAAGCCACACTGCAAAAGCCATGTAAGCATTCATCTTTGTCTCTTACCTATCTATCATCTATCATCTTTCTTTCTTTTTTCTCTCTCTTTCTTTTCCTTTTTGTTCCTTCTCTCCTTCACCTCCTTTTGGAAATCCCTGCCTTCAAATTACAAAGAGCAGTTTTCATAGTTCCTTAACGATTATTATGACTTCAAAACATGCTGAAAAGAAACATTCTAGAATGAAAAGCTGGGGATATTGATAACCATAACCCAAATTATATCACCTGATGAAGTGCCCACCAGATTCATTTTATAAATGCTAAAGGGTGTGTGTGTGTGTGTGTGTGTGTTAGGGGGCTTACTCAGATGTATTTGCTACCGGTTCCTTGATTGGCACCTACTGGAAACCCATCACTCCCCCTTTAGTCCATGGCCTGGGCCACCTTCCCTGTACTAATCATCAAGGAAGACTGAGCATACTAACCTTAGGGGTGGTATCAACAAGCAGGCAGATTCAGTACCACTCCTAGCTTCTCATAGCTCAATTCAGAAATGGCTAGAGATCGAAGGAGGGACTCTGGGCTGTGAGTTCAAGGAGGTCTACGGCCTCCCGAGGCCCTGGCAAGGAAAGGGACTGTACCATAAACCAATGAGCTCTTCTCAGGCCTAAGGGCACATCAGAACCACCTGGGCCCTGAAATGCCCCTGCTGGAGCTTCCCATGGATCATCAGGGCAGGTGTTCCCTAGAAGGGCCTGGGTTTCTGTCTATGAGCATTCACAACTTATTTGTTCTGATACTGGAAATCGTAACAGCAGTTTCCTTGGTGGAGTTAGGGAAGAGGCTGGGATGTGTCAGAAGAGTCAGGAATGAGACTTCTGAGGGCTGGACACAGCATTCACCCCTGATCAGGAGATGTCTGCACAGGCCTGCCTCTTTTGTGAAAATGTTCAAGCTGCACCCTTGATGTTTATGTACTTTATTGTATGTAAATTATGCGCTAATTTTTAAGTTTATTTAATTTCCTCCCTAGGCAATTCTGAAGCCAGGGTTGGGAGCCACCAAGACATTAATTTGTGCTCTCAATTTAGAAGTCCCATTTGTTTTGTTTTGTCTCATTTCATTTTGTTTTGTCTCATTTCATTTTGTTTTGTTTCATTTCATTTTGTTTTGTTTTGTGTTTTAGGTCTTGAAAGTCCAAAGTGTGGGCATCCCAATCTATGCAAGTTTTTCAATCATCTTCCCTATATCCTGACAGTTTCCAGAAGAATCTATGGGAAGTTCCCTCACCAATCTGCATAAATAGAAATAAAATGACATCAAAAGAGGGATGCCAGTGTTACTGTCCTGGTTAGCAGTTGCCCACATTTGTGTCACTTGAGGGTGGAAGGTGCCACAGTCATGAGTCCACTTGCCCTCCTTAACCCCAAAGCACCCTGAGTCCAGCCTCTCAGGAGGTCATGGGAGTACCTGTATATCAACAGACTCTATCTAGGAGCTTCAGTATTTCCCTTGTGCTGCAGCTGCACCTGCTACACAGAAAAACACACCTGGCCATTGCCCCTGGCAGCTGTGACTCAGCCAGAGCAAGAAATAAGAAGAGAAAGAACCAACTATAAGGCCCAGAGTTGTTTATCATCCCATCTTTTGCAATGGGACTGTATGGTTTGGAAAAGGACATTAGTGAGTCTTCTCACTTGGTGTGTTAGTTTTCTGTTGCAATGCCACAAAATATCACTGTCATGACCTAAAATAATATGTATTTATTATTTCACTAGGTCCTATGCTCAGGGCCTAGTCACAGTGAAGGAGTCCCCTTCCCATCAGAGGAGCCCCATGTCCTGGGCAGTGCAGCGTGGGAGGGAGAAGAACTGGTGGGAAGATGGGAAGGTGAGAAGCTGTCCTGCTGGAAGGATGGAGGCACAGGGACTTGTGGGGAGCCTATTTACAGGTGCATTCCCTCCTCCTGTTTCCCATTCACCCTCATTGCAGCAGTACGACTGAGGGCTGCTCCTGGCCCAGTTCGGCCAGTGGGAAGTGGCAATGGGAGCTGGGATGAAAAAGAAGTGAAGTCAGGGAAGCTCTCACCCTCTGAATGTAAGACCTTTTCCTGCAGTGCTATTCCTTCTCCTCAGCTCCAGCTCATTCATTGCAAGGAGGGGAAACAAAGGCATGGAAAGGTGGGCCAACAATTCCGGTTGGGAAATGCTCACTAGAAACCTCTGACCAGTTAGGCACTGGACACACACACCACCTTTCAACTTCCTTGGGGACAGGAATATATCTACCCCCAGGGAGAGAAAGGTGTGTGTTCATATAAGACTTTTCACAGTGTCCTGGCCATGGGCCTGTTGGCTTCCATTCTCCACATGGCACTCTGAAAAGGGCTGGGATGGCTTTGGGTGCTTACTATAGGTACTTAATATCTCACCTGCCATCTTCTAACTGAAATTTGAGTCAAGGATCTGCTACATGCTGGGCTACAGGCCTGGTCCCATTTCATCGGATTCTGATGAGAGCTGTAAGAAAGACTGAGGACGGTCCCACCGAGGAGGTGGCATATAAGTGAGCCTGGAAGGGTAACAGTGTCCTTGCAGGGATGCAGAGAGGGAAAGTAAATATATACAAGATGGTTTCCATATAGCTGAGAGAAAGTTTCCAGGCCCAGAGCTCCTGGACTGAATATGCATCTGAATCAATCTGGAGTTCATGCAAAAGCAGATCCCAGGCCAGTGCCAGAGACTGAGCTTGCAATCTGAGAAACACAACTGAGTATGCACTTTAGCAGGCTTCCTGCAGGACCCTGATGCAGGAGGTCTGTGGGTCACTCCCAGAAAGGATCTTGGTGTGATAGTGGGTCCATGGCAGGGTTTCTCTGTGTTGCACATACCCAATTGTTGTTCTCTCCCAGTGTCAAAAACTCAACACTGTGAGACTATTCCACCACAGCTGAAATAGCCAATTGGAAGAGAGAAAAAAAAAGAAAATAAATTTCCTAGAATATGCAATAAACAAAATTTCAAATAATGAGCCATCTTCGGAGGGTAAAACCATTTACTGTTTTTCTGAAAATTCAGCCCTTTCCACTAGAGGGCGAGCTGTGCCTCAAAAACAGGAACTACTATAGATACCAAAGGCTGAAATTTGAAACCCAAAGACCAGTCTCTCTGCCTGGGTTCTACTTGCTTAGGTTTGAAAGTGAAAGCCATTCATCCCGTGGAGTTGTGTACACAATTCCTAGTATATGTCTTGAATAAAAATCCTTAAGAAGATCTTAACAAGCTCTTCTTACAAGTGAGAGCTTCTTAGACTAGAATTTTTAGACCCACAGTCAGTGCCCAAGCTGTACCATGAGCACGGAATAAGGTCACATCTTATGTGCCATGTTCCTAACTTCTTTCTGCTTGCTTCTTCCATCACTCATCACGACCTCCTGGCCCACCCCCTCAGGCCCTCCTGGCTAGCTGAGTTGGCCCAGGATCTCCCTCCTTACACAGCAACAGTTTAAGTTTTATTGTTGAACTGACCTGAGTCTAAGTCCCAGCTGTGCTTTAGGTCCTGATCTTTCTTGGGGCCTGCTCCCTGTTATGCAACCAGAAGAGGCTGCACCTGGGGCTCTCTGAGGCCCTTTTTAGCTATGGACCTCGGGTCCTCTAATTCCTTGGATGGAAGAGCAAAGGTTCAGCCTGTGAGCCAGGAAAAGGCAGCCTTAGGGGAATGAATTGAGTCATTTTCCCATGAGTTCATCAGAACGAGAATGCATTAAGAAGAATGAGGAAGACACTTGTCTTCTCCTTACCTTTTAGAGGTTTTACATTTTGAGAACGAGCGTGTCTTTAAGTTCCAGGAGGAGAAAGGACGTTCTTGCCCCTGTAAGCCTAAGTTAGGAAGGAGAGTGTTGGACTTGTAAGTTTTTAGGGAGAAGGCTGACTCCTCAGGGGACACAGGGAGTCCAGGCTGGCTCCACTCCTACAAAGGGAGGTGAGCATACAATGTGGAGTCCTAAAGCCTTGAAATCTTGAAGAAGGGAACAGGGTCCTCCTGGAGGAGACAGTGATGGGACAAACCTCTGAGAAAATCTGGAGGCAGCCCTAGCCAAGAGAACTTTCTGTGATGATGGAAATGCCACATACCTGCCTGTCCAATATGATAACTGTTATGAAGAGTACATGAGAAACCACCCAGAAAATGGGCTTTATGTGAGTAAAAGGCTGGAATTTTTCTGCCTGGGTGCAGACAAGCTGAGATTGAAGAAATTTTGTATAGGGGCTGGGTGAGGTTATAATTCCAAGGAATCTGGGTGGAATATTTGGGGTCAAAGTTCCCAGGATGGTCTGTGAGGTGTGTAGGTAATATTGGTGCTGGGGGGATTGTGTGTCCTGTCTAAGTTTTCTTTATGGCTATCTGTTCTTTTTACTAAGGCTGTATGGCCCTTTAGTGGTTCCTATTGTTGTAAAGAGCAACATCTTTGCTGAGACGATCTCTAACAGGTCAGATATGACAGTGACAACTAGCCATGTATGGCCATTAAGTAATTGAAATGTGACGAGCACAATAAAGAAAATGAGTTTTTAATTTTATTATATCATACTGTATGTAAATTTAAATAGTCATAGCACAGTGCTCACTATGGAACAAAGACTACTCCTTTTTGATTCTGCAGGCTCGCCAGTGTCTGAGCCTCTCAGCCTCTCCCTATGCCCTGGACAAATAAAATAACAATGTCCAGCCATGCCTGAGACTCAGACACTGGACACTTCAGGATTTTGTATGCAACACTGGGAGAAGCCCAATTCCTAGGGTCAGAGAGAAGCTGTGCTGGGGAAAGGAAGGTTCCAAGCCCAGGGAAGCAGAGTTCAGCTGTGAATCAGTGTAACTATGGTTTCCCAGTTCCTTCTACTTGTGCTATTTAAATTTAATTGCATTAAAATTACATATAATTTAAAACCTCATGCTGTCACACTAGCCACCTTGCAAGCACTCAGTGCTTGCGCGTGCCTAGCAGCTACCATATGGTTAGGGTAAATAAAAGACAAGATGTCATCACTCCTCCTTGTGACTTTAAGCTTAATGAATTTGAATGAGTCATTTAACCTTTGTGCTCTCATTGCTTGACTTGATTCTTTCCACAGATCACTGAGAGCTACAACGCTGGGCCAGGTTTCAGATTAGGGTTGTGAAGGTGAACAAAAGACAGTCTCTGCCATCCCTGAGCCAAAGTGTCAGGGAAAACCCTAGTAATTAATGAAATAATTACACTAACAAAGGCAGGTCTTTGATAGTGTAAAGCAAAGAAATTTGAACTAGACCCTAGGAGGGGGTGTGAGTTCCAATGAGGACCCTCTCGAGGAAAATGTTACTTAAATCAAGATCCAAAGTAGGAAAGGGAATTAGGACAGCCTTGACTGATGCAAAGAAATCAAAAACCTTATTATGCCTTGCTAGTGAGAACGTGAAATGGTGTTGTTACTCTGAAAATCTGGTGGTTCAGAGATAGGATAAAAGAAATCAAAAGTTTAACATTATACTTTAAAAGAAAAACTGCAGCTTCAGGACACAAGTTACCCAAGGTTACTTTCCAGGAAAATTAAGTATTCCAAAAAATTCCTAAGGGACTTAAAGAAACAAGGCTGTAGTCTTGGGCCCATATTTTTCACCTATAATTTGCTCTTCCTCCTTCAGACTTCCCTTCTCAAGGAAGCAGCCTACTTAGTGGGCAGCAGATCTTTAAACTTCAAGTACATGCAAATGGTTTGCATTCTAACTTAGCCCACCAAATGGGTTGCCTGACAGACAGTAGGAATACTGTGTTGGTTACTTTTCTCTTGTTGCTGAGACAAAATACTTGACACTTAAAATGAAGGGAGGAAAGTTTTAGTTAGCTCACAGTTTGTGGAAATTTTAGCCCATGATCAGCTGATTCCCAAGTAGGGTAGCTCAAGGCAAGAGGGCAACAGTTCATGGCAGTGGAAAATAGCAAAAGCAACAAGACCAAAAGGGGGCAGAAAGGGAGGAATGTGGAGAAAAGACTCCTTTTGTCTTTTACATTGTGTGTAGGTTACCTACCCTAGGATGGGTGTAGCACACACTCATCCCAGCATTGGACTGTGAATCAATCACATGAGCCTTGTGGGGGGGGGGGAGGGCATGTAGATGCAAACCATAATATTCCAACCCTGGCTCCCCAAAGACTCATGCACATCCCTTTGTGCAAAAGACAGTTTAGTCCATATCTAAGAGTTGCCAAAGTCCTAAAAGTTTCAGCATTGCTTAAAATTCCACGCCCCAAGTCTCCTTCGAGATCTAAAGCAAACTTTTAGCTCTAAGC